AGAACACCATATAGAGCAAGTTCTCTCTTACAGATACTTGGGCATCCTTTTTAATGCTTCAGGCAGTTGGCGCTCTCAGTATCAGGCCCAAAAATAAAAACTGAGAAAGCTTTGGTAGGAATAATAAAGTTCTGGTGTATAAGTGGTAGTCGGCAAATTCCTCCAATCCTAACTCTTGTAAAAATCTAGTTAGTAGCTGACTTTCGTATGCAGTAGAATTATGGGGAATTTCTACCCCTTATGATATGGAATTCTTTCAAAACGAACTCCTCAGAACTATTTTAGATGTATCCTATCCTATCCCCTTTCTCTATGCAGAAACTAGTACATGCCCAATTAAAGCTAGAATAATTGTAAGGCCATTTAATTATTGGGCTAGACTCTCACTACTTGATCCCTGACTTGTCAAACGGTGCCTCCTGGAGCAAATGAATTTCTCCACTCCTTCTTGCACCAGTTGGTTTACATTTTTATCTAATCACGTGCATACCTTTGGTTTTTCTCCGGAATCCTTTTTGAATTCAAATAATGCAAACAATAATCTGTTATTCAAAAACAGGGTGCAGAATGTTTTTGCCCAAAGAAATTTGTTTAAATTGTCGCAACATAATATTGCCCCTTGGTATGCACTTAATAAAACCAAAATCAAATGCAAACTTTATCTGAGGTGTGTTACAGTGCCATCTCTCTGAGGCACTTACAAGACTACGGTTCCAGCAAATGGCATCAGCAACTAGAGAGGGCTGATTTCTCTATATCCCATATAATATGTGCTGCTGCCCTTGCTCCAAGGAAATCACAGAAGATTTTACCCATTATTTATTCTATTCTGCTTTAGCACATGGAAAATTTCTGAAGCCCCTCCTGATAAGAAAATCATTTTGACCTGATTCATATAAAATTGAATATCTAACGAATTTAGATAAGGAGACATTGCTGTGGAAATTAGCAAGCTTTGCATGGGCTGCTGCTAAACAGAGAATATTTTATCAAAAATTCCAATGTTTTCTAATACTTTACTTGCCGTAACTGTTTTAATGTTTTTACCGACTTTTGTACATTTTAATGTATTTTATTAACGTTTGGCCACTTTTGTGCAGGTTTTATCTTACTTGTTACGACCGGTGGTCAAAACAATAAATTGACTGATGGCAGTTCCCCCCTCTGTGTCAGAGATGCCCTGGTGATTCTGGAAGCCCTTCCTAGGCCTACTGGCCGGCCTGCCAGCAGGGCTTTTCCACATTGCTTTGAGGAAGACAGAGAACGAGGGTGATTGGGGCACCCCTAGCCTCCATCTTCATATCCACACACACCACACAACAAAAGAACATTAAGTTGTGACAGTTTTAGGGAGAATAGATTTAAAATCCAGTTGCTCAAGAATAGAATCATGCAAGGGGGGCGGGTGTTAGGTGGAGAAAATCTGGCAGCACATAAAGTGTATTCATGGACTGTTTACCATTTTACATTTACATGTTTTAGCAGATAAACAGAGTGGTTTTAATGGCTGATTCCTCTTCCACTGAGATGAAGTGGTGTACCTTCTTCCCTTGGCAGATCAGCTGGACAGGCTGCTGATTCCTCCCTGCTAGCAATTTGGAGGAGGATTTGTGGAGGAGGAAGCAGGAACCATGAGGTTCTTCCTCATGGGGGATCAGGGCCCTCTAAAGGGCAATGGCTCTGGATGATGTAGTTGCTAAGGTGCTGGGCTGGGGTGAAGGACCCCATTCTCCACCATAGAAGTTTATCACTCTTTCAGTCCAGCCCACCACAAAGGGATGATGCTGGGATAAAAGTCTTCATGCTCTTAATATTATTAAGCAACAAACACGTAATAATAAGTGGAATTCACTTTGCACCTTCCTGTGTAATAGAAGTTAAATTATTTCCAAAAACTAAACATGTACTGCTGAGTCGCTTATCTAAATTTACTGAGTCTTAACCACAAAGTACTGCCACAGTAATTGAACTCCGTCAACACTGAACTGAACAGCATGTCTTATGGATGTTTACTTTTAAAAAAAAAGAAATGTGGTATAAATTAGGGACTCCCTGATTGGGATTGCCTGATAGAGGTTTCTAGCTGCTAAAAGCAAACAGTGCTGCTTTTTCTCCTTTCTGAACAAGTGTAGGAAAAAGGTTTCAGGAGTAGAAGAGAGAAGTAAATGAGACATCCATCCTCAAGTCTTCTTTCTCACTAATATTAGATTGAGCACTTAACAGACTTAGACTTCTGTTGCCAGAGTAGCAGCCTGGTATGGCATAACAGTAGGATGTGGTTTCTTTAATTCTGGCTTACAGTGGTGTGAAAAAGAAAGGACACCCTCTTTGAGCTCTATGGTTTTACATATCAGGACATAATAAAAATCATCTGGTCCTTAGCAGTTCTCAAAAG